CTTACCGTTATAATGGATGGATACCCCCTTTTTCCCACTTCCAAGTTTTCCCTTCCTTTCCCCTCCCCTAATATAGTTTTTTTTTATTACTTGTAAAATCTGCATAATCTTTCAATAAAAATTATTTGAAAAGATAGCAGGGGGTATCACCCAGACAGCAAGATTATTCCATAATAATCTGTGTACTGAAAGAAAGCAGGAGGTATCTTCCAGGCAGCTATATTACTCCATAACATGCCGGGTACTGAAAGAAAGCAGGGGGTATCACCCAGGCAGCTATATTACTCCATAACGTGCCGGGTACTGAAAGAAAGCAGGAGGTATCTCCCAGGCAGCTATATTACTCCATAACGTGCCGGGTACTGAAAGAAGCAGGGGATATCACCTAGGCAGCTATATTACTCCATAATGTGCCGGGTACTGAAAGAAAGCAGGGGATATCACCCAGGCAGCTATATTACTCCATAACGTGCCGGGTACTGAAAGAAAGCAGGAGGTATCTCCCAGGCAGCTATATTACTCCATAACGTGCCGGGTACTGAAAGAAAGCAGGGGGTATCACCCAGACAGCTATATTACTCCATAACGTGCCGGGTACTGAAAGAAGCAGGGGATATCACCTAGGCAGCTATATTACTCCATAACGTGCCGGGTACTGAAAGAAGCAGGGGGTATCACCCAGGCAGCTATATTACTCCATAACGTGCCGGGTACTGAAAGAAGCAGGGGGTATCACCCAGGCAGCTATATTACTCCATAACGTGCCGGGTACTGAAAGAAAGCAGGAGGTATCTCCCAGGCAGCTATATTACTCCATAACGTGCCGGGTACTGAAAGAAGCAGGGGGTATCACCCAGGCAGCTATATTACTCCATAACGTGCCGGGTACTGAAAGAAGCAGGGGGTATCACCCAGGCAGCTATATTACTCCATAACGTGCCGGGTACTGAAAGAAAGCAGGGGTCCAGATTACTCCATACCTTGCATTACAGTCTATTTTATAGAAGTTATCATGTAGAGAATATTTAGTTAGTGGATTCTGTTTTGTCATTCCATTGAGCTCCCGGAGACACTCATGTTTACAGAATGTAACGCTGAGAGCTTTAATAATTCATAGTGACCTTCAATCAGAAATTGTGATTGTTTTACTCTCTCTTGCTCTGACACCTAGTAATTCGATGTTTACTCCTGGCTGTAAGATTGTGGTATTTTATTAATGCACGCTGCCTCGCTCAGATTTTGGAAACTGTCCCTGTCTACATGTCGTAGATAACATAAATGGACACTCCACTGGCCAAGTACAAAATAGATAAATATCGGTGTTTAGGAGATATCTTAAACTGGATCCATCAGGAGTTAAGCTGCTACAGTCTATACATAATCTGTTTATTTGGCAGAATACTTAGGCCATAATGTATTCTTTGTGTACAATATTGTAAAGCGCTGCGGAATCTGTTGGTGCTATATAAATGGCAATAATAATACATAACGCAGCTAGGTATATGTGTTCTATAATTTAGGGAACATTTTCTGGGGTCCATAAAACCTGGAGTCTCATTTGAAATGCCCTTTCTCGCTTCTTTTTATATTTTAAGGTTTTGCAAAGGGCTTCAGCAGAGTTAAAACTAGGGATCGACCGATTATCGGTTTTACCGATATAATCGGCCAATATTTGGTATTTTTGGCAATATCGGTATCTGCCAATTCAGATACCGATATTGCTGATAATACCTCCTAGGACCGCCGGGCTCATTACAAGCTCGGCGGTCCTGGGGGGGGGGGGAAGGCGGGCAGTAAGCGCTTACTCACCTCCCAGCAGCTCCTCCAGCTCCCCAGTGCAACTCTCGCGAGACCCATGGCCGTCAGAGCGTTGCCATTGATCACCATGGCAACGCTCCGCACGACACGCTGCCGCGAGCGTTGCACTGGGGAGCTGGAGGAGCTGCTGGGAGGTGAGTAAGCGCTTGCTGCCCGCCCCCCCAAAGCTCAGCCAATACCACTGGACCACCAGGGACTGCTATATCCCCCCTCCCTGGCCAGGTAACAAGCAGGGAGGGGGGACAACAAAAATAAATAATAATTAATTAAATATAAAAAAAATTATAATAATTTAATAAAAAATGCCCCCTCACACACTCCATTATATACACACACTATACAAACACACTGCATTATAAACACACACTATACAAACACACTGCATTATATACACACACTATACAAACACACACACACACACACACACACTGCATTATATACACACACTATACAAACACACACACACTGCATTATATACACACACTATACAAACACACTGTGTATATAATGCAGTGTGTTTGTGTAGTGTGTGTATATAATGCAGTCTGTGTTTGTGTAGTGTGTTTATATAATGCAGTGTGTGTGTGTATGTAATGCAGCGTGTTTGTGTAGTGTGTTTATATAATGCACACTACACAAACACACTACATTATATACACACACCACACAAATACACACACACTCTGCATTCATTATATACACACACACTTTGCATTTAGTATATACAGCATTCACTTTACGCACACTACCCACACACTACACAAACACTCTGCTTTCATTATAAATACTACACTAATACATACTGCATCCACTACACACACTAGACAAATACACACTGCATCCACTACACAAACACACACTGCACGCACACACTACATAAACACACACTGCATCCACTACACACACTACACAAACACACACTGCATCCGCTACACACACTGCACGCACACACTACACAAACACACACTGCATCCACTACACACACTACACAAACACACACAGCTCCCCTGTCACACTGCATCCACTACACGTGGCATGTATATTTTGTGCATTTACCTTTAGAAATAGTTTTTATTTTCCAAAATGGTAAATGTACAGAATATCGGCAAATTATATCGGCTATCGGCCTGAAAGTTCACAGAGTATCGGTATCGGCTCTAACAAAATCAATATCGCTCGATACCTAGTTAAAACCTGCTTTATTTAATAGAGAAAAACTCATCTCAGCATATAGAAGTCTAGTTTCTGTAAAAAAAAAAAAAAAATTTTAATATTTTTTTTTTTTATGATATCTTTTCTATAATCGTTTTCATGCTTCTTGTTTGCATTTAGCTGGAAAGCTACTGTAGTGAATTAACCCCCATCCCTATTTTATAGTGATTTAATGTAATGAATGAGTTTCCACGAGCTGAGGGATCGCTGTAATGTGCGGAACTCACCGTAGATTCTGTGTAATTGCACAAATAAATACATTAAACTGACTCGGCCTCATTAAAACCCTCTGAATGATCGCTACTGCTTGAGGCACAATATAAATGGATATAAAAAAGCTGCCAATCCTACCTTTATTTCACCACTGAGCGTCTCCTTGTTGGTGAAGTCTATCCGGACTGATGATCATTGCTTCTCATTGAGAATCATTGTACCTTGTGCTATAATATAATTCTGCTTTGACCTGGCTGTGGAGTGACCCTTTAAAGAGACTGCTCATGGCTGTCATTCCCCCCCAATTACATTCCTATAATTCAGGAGATACTGTATTCTCCTTCCTCATCCAAGATGGTATCCTTTACCAGTCTGTGTGTCTGCTTGGCGTGAGGCTGTGTCACATGCAACCAAGATGGCTGCCACAAACTCGCCAGACAGGTGCCATGTTTGTTTCTCTCTATGCTATTGGCATGCCATTAAACCCCATATACATGTCTGAATCATTTCTAACTCTGCCTGTGCTACCGATGTAGTTAAGACAATGTAGAGATGACACTAAACTATACATACTGTATGTGATAAAGCCCCATCCACGTCAATAGAAACATAGAATGTGACGGCAGATAAGAACCATTTGGCCCATCTAGTCTGACCAATTTTCTAAATACTTTAATTAGTCCCTGGCAGGGGCGTACCTAGAGCATTTGTCACCTGGGGCGGACCCTGAGTGTGGCACCCCCCTCCTCCCCCCCAAATAATAAAAATGTAAGAAAACACCCACAATTTTTTCAATGTTTTCATTAATATTTATTTCACAAATTTGTAAACTGTATATAAACTTGAAAAAAATGGAACTATGAAAAATAAATTAACTTAGAAATAAATAAAATTTACATAATAATTAACATTTACTTAACAGTTAATGCGCTTTCTATAAACAAAAAAACACACAGATCCAAAGTGTCTATTCGGCAGAGGTAATGTGCAATGATTCACATCCACTGCCTTCGAGCCTTCATTTCTGCAAATTTATCGATTACTTCATCAAAGCCAATCTTCCTTGCATATTCATGCTCAATTGAAAGTATAGCCAGATTTGTCAACCTTGTCTCACTCATGGTTGAGCGAAATAATTTTTTTATCAATTTTAATTTGGAAAAACTTCTTTCACATGAAGCAATAGACACACAGAGAGTCAAAAAGAATCTTAAACACAGTGACAAATTTGGCAGAGATTCACAATAATCCCATTTAACAATGAACTCAAGGAACTGCAATGCCGTCCATTTCTTTGCTTCTTCAACACTGATTTTTGGCAGCTTCCAAATGCCTCCGAAGACATTCAATTTCCCTAAAGATGTCTTCATTAGAGAATTCATCAAAAATCTCAGTCAATTTTGGAGTATAATTCCAAATATCTTTCTCTGCTGCCAAAACCAGAGAGCTTGGCTGAATAACAGCAAATATTGAAGGGATTTTTTCAATTGCCTGGGAACGAATTTCCAACTCGTGATGAAAACGATCAAGGCACTCAAACATAGCCCTTTTCATTTCCTCTGGCAATGTGAGACCAGCGTCCTTTGCCTTCTCTCCTGGCATTGTTTTACGGAGCTTTACTCTCCCTCTTCTTTCCATTGAAATGGCCATTTCTTTACACGTAGTAGTTGCATAACAAATGGCCTTCTCCACAATTTCACTGCGCTGATCTGATAGAAACACTTTCAAACCTTGTAGTTTCACAACACACTTTTCAAGAGTGAGTCCCACAGTTTGCAAATATTTCTGTGTTATATTAACTTCTTCTAGAACTTCACACCAGAAAGAAAGGTAACACAAAAAAGAAAAATCACATACGGCAGACAGCAACATCTGAGCCGATCCTCTTGTGTCCACATTTTCTTTGGGATTACATAACTTTTCAAGGGCTGAAGTCAGTTTTTCAAAATTTGCCCTCACTGGCTTCACAGCATCATAATGAGCGCTCCATCTTGTTTGGGAAAGTCTTTTCACTGTCACACCTACATTTTCCATCAGCAATTCCCAACGATGTGTAGAAACCGAAAAAAAGTAATACACTCTCTCCAATGTTCCAAAAAAGGTCACACAGGAAGCAACACTTCCAAATGAGTGCACCCCACATAGGTTCAGGGAATGGTTAGCACATGGCATAAACAAAGCCTTGGGATTAATCTTTTTTATTTTTGCCTGAACACCACCATGAATCCCTGCCATAGTTGCAGCATTATCATATCCTTGACCACGGCAAAGGCTTATGTCTAGTCCATCTTCCTCCAGATGTTGCAGGATATTTTCTGTGAGTTCAGCAGCAGGAAAGAAGCCCAAGAATGATTCCTTTACTTCAACATTGTCCCCTTCAATATGAACATATCTGATCAGTGTGGGACACATCAGGGGTGCTGTCAAAAAGAATCCCAAAGTACTTTGCTTTCTTGATATCAGCCACTATTTTGTCCTTCACATGATTTCCCAAAAGACAAATGAATTTGTTCAGAAGTTTTGGAGAGAAATAGGTCATTCTCTTTCCAGATGCAACAGCATGTTTCAGCCTCATGAAATGTTCCTTTAAAATGGGATCATAGTTTGAGAGCAATTCTACCAATTCGAGGAAGTTGCCTTTGTTTGTGGATGACATGGTCTCTCTATGACCACGAAAGGGAAGATTCTGGTGAGCCAGAAACAAGGTTACATCCAAAAGGCGATACAAAATATCCCTCCATTTTGTAACCGCTGGTGGTTCCCTTATTTACCACTATAATGTCTTAAAGCATAGAACTTAGCAGGGCTAACCATACAGATATCTTAGCCATAATTTTATATAGTGTAAGAGATCCTCTATTTAACATATATAAATAATTGAGAATACAATATAAAATAAGGATTGTCTTGGAAGCAAGATTGTCTTTTTGGATATTTATTATATAAAAATATATATAAAAATATAAAATCCATTATAGCAGAGTTTATAAAATTAAATTACATGCTTGCAAATATCATTAATAGGTTAACATACCCTTCTGAACATGTCATCATGTCAGCCTCTCTGTCATTTTAAGATGGAGCAGCGTCTGTCTCCAAGTCTCTCCTCTGTGTCTTAACATTTAAAAGTACACCTATTTATACCTCTGTCTCCATTTTAGGTTACTGTAGTTCAAATATGAAAAAGTAACACTTCTTTTACTTTATTCAATTTAGGACCTCCCTTAATTTGGCAAACATACAAGGCCATAACTAAAGGGTGTATACGTCATGGAAATTTTCCTGACTTAGTTCAAGATGGCATCTTAAAGTCTGAATAGGTTATCTGTTGTTTATACTAAGTCGTAAGTGTACAGTCGTGGGAGATTCCCGGATTTGGGGAAGTTCCATTAACTTGGGGTTACCACAGTATATTGTGTACTGAAAGAGTCGTAGCATAGCCTTGAAGCTTGTTTATGCATTATTGTTATTGTAATTCGTCTGGGACAAAATGGAGCAAACATATTATGCACTGAGGTTATTGCTTAAAGAAACAGTTATGAAAAGGTGTTCCATTTCTAACACCTTGTCAGTTTGCAATATCTCTTAAAGACAAAGTACACAGTTTAAGAAATACAACATTTCATTCTAAAACTTGTAATATTTGCATTTGCCCGTAACAATTTCCTTTTCTCTCTCTGTCCACTGTTGTTTGATGGACATGATCAATGCATTTTTGTAGCTTCAATCCTGCTCTCAAGGTCTTCCATTTCTCCAAGCATGTAAGATGCTGCTCAGAAGCCTCATGATCAGACACCTTTGGGTTCAGCTTCCACCACAATTGAAACCCAGTAACAAAACTGGATGTCCCTGTTACTTTGTCATCAACAGCAAAAAGTCTGCAGCAAAAACAAAACAAACTTTGTTTTGATGGAGAGTACACCATCCACATTCTTAGAATTTTTTCGCCATTAGGCAGAGCCTTATAGAACCATGCAGTGGTCAACTGTCGACTCTTCCCTTTTGATTTCTCTCCTTGCCTTTCAACAGGACTGAATGGCCCATCTCTATTTTGGAAAGGTTCACTTCCCCTCTTAATAAGGTCCACTCTTAAAACATCTGGAACTGGAACTGGCCAAGCAGCAACATCAGAATAAACTGACAGTCGAACAGTCTCCTCTTCTTCTTCATCATCATCATCAGAGTCTTGCTGATGCAGGCTTCTGCTGGCATCGCCTTCATCTACATCACTTTCACCGCTTGAAGATAAAATGATCTTCTCCAATTCTTGCGCTTTCACATATGAAGCTTCTTGAGAAGATACTTCAGGCATTTCACCTCTGGATTCAACAGACTGAACGTCTTCAGCACTTTCTCCTACTGCGGTAGATGTTGAAGGTGCAACATATTTTAAAATTGATCCAGACATCGCCTCAGCTGACTTTTCTTTTGCCTTCTTAATTTTTCGTTGCTGAGACCCGCTTGGTCGATTTCGCTTCATATTGGTGTTTTCTGCAGAAAAATACTAAATTTATTTTGGCTCTAGGGTTCGCTAGTGCGATATCTGTCTTATATTTCCCATCTTGGCATACCATTTGTAAAAGTAGACAACCCAGGGTATTTAAAGGGACACTATAGTCACCCAGACCACTTCAGCTCAATGAAGTGGTCTGGGTGCCAGCTCCCCCAGATTTTAACCCTCCAGATGCAAAAATCGCATCCAGCTTGCAGAACGTCCATAGGAAAGCATTGAGAAAGGCTTTCCTATGGACTGTTTGAATGCGCGCGCGCGGGCTCTTGCCACGCATGTGCATTCGGCTCCACTCGGGAGCTGATGTCGGCGGGGGAGGAGAGTTCACCAGCGCCGAGGGAGCCCGGCACTGGATTAAGATAAATGGCTGAAGGGGTTTTAACCCCTTTAAACCCATTCAGCCACTTACCTTTCTCCAGCGTCGGGCTCCCTCGGCGCTGGTGACCTCTCCTCCCCCTGCCGACGGCAGATCCGAATGCACATGCGCGGCAAGAGCCGCGTGCGCATTCAAACTGCCCTTAGGAAAGCATTACTCAGTGCTTTCCTATGGACGTCCAGCGTCTTCTCACAGTGAGTTTTCAGTGAGAATTGCGGAAGCGCCTCTGCGGCTGTCACTGAGACAGCCACTAGAGGCTGGATTAACCCTCAGTGAAACATCTCTGAAACTGCTATGTTTTCAGCTGCAGGGTTAAAACTAGAGGGACCTGGCACCCAGACCACTTCATTGAGCCGATCCTTAGAAACAGCATAGGAAAAGGATTTGGGTTCAAAAGATGTAGCGGCTAGGGCAGAGGTTTTGTAGAAGGGGGCCAGGGCAGAAGTTTTGTACAAATGTGCCAGTTTTGTAGAAGGGGGAAGACCAGTGCTTTTGTAGAAAGGGGCAGGTGAGAAACTTCTAGAAAACTCCTGCTCTGCCCCTTTCTACAAAGCCCCTTGTCTCGCCCCTTCTAGAAAACCCCTGCCCTTCGGCCTTCATATAAAAACCCTGCACACTGACAACATAAATTTCATACACTCCCTACACATAAAAACCCTGCACACCCCCTTAATTTAAAAAAAACAAAAAAAAAACACTGCACACCCCCTTAATAAAAAACAGAAACCATGCACAACCCCCTTAATAAAAAAACAAAAACTTGCACAACCCCCTTTGATAACAAAAAACCTGCACACCCCCCTTAACAAAAATCTGCAGTGCACATCCTCCCTTAATAAATAAAATAGTGCAACCCCATTAATTAAAAAAAAAACCTGCACCCCCTTAAATAAACCTCCCCGCACTGCACCCCCCCTTAATTAATTCATACCCCTTAATTAATCCATCCCCCTTAATTAATCCACACTAATTTATCCACACTAATTAATCCACCTCCTTAATTGATCCACACTAATCCACACCCCCCTAATTAATCCACGCCCCCTAATTAATCCTGCCCCCTTAATTAACCACCCCCCATAATTAATCCACCCTCCCATAATTAATCCACCCCCGCATAATTAAACCACCCCCCCTTAATTAAACCTCCCTCCCCTTTAATTCTTCAATTTAATAAATTACTACTCACATTTTGATGATGCCTTCCCTCCGAGACCGACAACTGGGTGCCTCACCGCCCGGATATTGGATGGATCCTTGCGCTGAAGATCCGTGAAGGCGGTGGCGCTGCGCGTCATCACTCCGCGTCCTGCAAGGCTCCTCTGCCTTCTCAGCCTCCGCAAAGGTGCTGCCGCTGCGGCTGTGCGCAGTGTAATGATTGGGGCCGGGGGGTGACACATGACACTGGAAGTCGTGGCACCCGGGGCGGGCCGCCCCCCCCTTAGTACGCCACTGGTCCCTGGCCTTATCTTATAGCTAGGATAGCCTTATGCCTATCCTACGCATGCTTAAACTTCTTTACTGTGTTAACCTCTACCACTTCAGCTGGAAGGCTATTCCATGCATCCACTACCCTCTCAGTAAAGTAATACTTCCTGATATTATTTTTTAAACCTTTGTCCCTCTAATTTAAGACTATGTCCTCTTGTTGTGGTAGTTTTTCTTCTTTTAAATATAGTCTCCTCCTTTACTGTGTTGATTCCCTTTATATATTTAAATGTTTCTATCATATCCCCCCTGTCTCGTCTTTCCTCCAAGCTATACATGTTAAGATCCTTTAACCTTTCCTGGTAAGTTTTATCCCGCAATTCATGAACCAGTTTAGTAGCCCTTCTCTGAACCCTCTCTAAGGTATCAATATCCTTCTGAAGATACGGTCTCCAGTACTGTGTACAATACTCCAAGTGAGGTCTCACTAGTGTTCTGTATAATGGCATGAGCACTTCCCTCTTTCTACTGCTAATACCTCTCCCTATACAACCAAGCATTCTGCTAGCATTTCCTGCTGCTCTATTACATTGTCTGCCTACCTTTAAGTCATCAGAAATAATCACCTCTAAATCCCTTTCCTCATATGTTGAGGTTAGAACTCTATCAAATATTCTGTACTCTGCCCTTGGGTTTTTACGTCCAAGATGCATTATCTTGCACTTATCCACATTAAATGTCAGTTGCCACAACTCTGACCATTTTTCTAGTTTACCTAAATCATTTGCCATTTGGCTTATCCCTCATGGAACATCAACCCTGTTACATATCTTAGAATCATCAGCAAAAAGACATACCTTACCACCAAGACCTTTTGCAATATCACTGATAAAAATATTAAAGAGAATGGGTCCAAGTACAGATCCCTGAGGTACCCCACTGGTGATAAGCCCAAGCTTCAAATATATTCAATTGACTACAACCCTCTGTTGCCTGTCACTCAGCTTCTGCCTTACCCATTCATCAATATTGGAATCCAAACTTAAAGATTGCAGTTTATTGATAAGCCTTCTATGTGCAACAGTGTCAAAAGCCTTACTGAAATCTAGGTAAGCAATGTCTACTGCACCACCCTGATCTATAATTTTAGTTACCCAATCAAAAAAAATCAATAAGATTAGTTTTGGCATGATCTCCCTGAAGTAAACCCATGTTGTCTCTGATCTTGAAATCCATGTGTTTTTTAGATGTTCAGCAATCCTATCCTTTAACATGGTTTCCATCACTTTCCCCACTACTGAAGTAAGGCTTGCTGGCCTATAGTTGCCCGACTCCTCCCTATTACCTTTCTTGTAAATGGGCACAACATTCGCTAACTTCCAATCTTCTGTGACTACTCCTGTTAACAATGATTGGTTAAATAAATCTGTTAATGGTTTTGCTAGTACACCACTAAGCTCTTTTAATAGCTTTGGGTGTATTCCATCAGGTCCCATTGACTTATTTGTCTTTACTTTTGACAGTTGAAATAGAACCTCTTCCTCTGTAAACTCACGTGTAACATATGACTCATTTGACCTTTCTAATAACTGAGGCCCTTTTCCTTCATTTTCATCTGTAAATACTGAACAAAAATATTCATTGAGGCAGTCAGCTAGACCTTTATCCTCTTCTACATAACTTCCTTCTTTTTAAAAAATTTTTTTTCTTTTTATTTGTATTTTTGTCATGCATAAAGGGAATACAAACATGTCTGAGGTACCCCAATGGCATTCCTCTGGCTGAGCATCACGTATAACAGTTGGGTAACAGATGAGACTTTCACATTTTTAGAATACGAGAATAAAGGAGGTAATCATGTCAGTATACAGAATATAAAACATGCTTAGAGGTCAGGTAACGAGCAAGAACAAGTTTGGTAGAGACAGTAATGTGGCATTGGAACTAAGCTACATGTCACAGCTTGACCCTTGCTAACTATAGGATCTTCG